TTTAGAATCAACCTTTTCCAATCCATTCTTTTTTTGTAGGAATGCGGCGTCGCTGCTATGCTGGTTGTCAGAGGGAAGCACGTTACTGCCGTCACGACTTCTCCTTCGGACCTTGTATTTGCTGCCTTTAGTTTTAGTTCTTCAACCGACCTGTCTGGCATGCTAGGACATTGAGGAACGATTAATCCAGACAGTATATTTCGACGGGCTTATCACAATGAACAAACCCGAACACAAAGTCAGGATAACTGCAACGATCGGGCTATAATTACCCAGTCGTACTGCTGACTATACAGAGGTGTGACAGCAGTAAGGTGTTTCCTTCAGACAACCAGAATGGCAGCGATACTGCCTTCCCACAAGGAGGGGTGGGGTTAGAAAAGGTCGACCCTAAAAATGCACACCGCCTTATCCCACGGATATACGTCTCCGGTGGTAAGGTCTCAACAAGTGCGGAGCTAACACAAAAATTACCCATAAAAAGGTTGTGTGTGACCGACCTCAAGCAGTTGTTCCTTGGGCACTGTGGCCACGCTCTCGGGTCACTAAGACCACCTTTAATCCAAATTCCTTTTCAGGTACCTCCAGAAGAACCCTTCCACAGTATGGGCAATCGGGAAATGACAATCGGCCTCATACCTCTAACAGCACTCAAGACCTCCGTCTTCACTTCCTATTATTGCTCCGACATCGACTTTCACCTCTAAACTTCCTTTTTCCGCTTCCCCCTCAAGTGTCACCATAACCAACGATTCTAGTGCTCAAAACACTCCGAGGTCTACTGGAACCTCGCTCCAAACTACACATTGGAGCCTTCAACGTACGCACACTCTCGAATCGGTCAGCAGGCCTCCTTGGCTAGAACACTGGTAACTCGTGCCATTGATGTATACTGTGTCTCCGAGACACGCATACAGGATTCCAGTGTGGTCATTCACTTGACCTCACCTCGGCAAAACGGAGAGCCAACGAGATACACCCTACGTGTATCTGGTGACCCGATGGCAAGTTCTCGTGGACTGGCAGGTGTAGGCATAGCACTAAGCATGAGGGCGGAACAAGCACTGCTAGAGTGGATCCCCGTCAACAGTCGTCTATGTGCTGTTCGGCTAAACGGCTCCGTGAGAACTCGGAAGGATAGGGACACACGTCGTTGCCTTTTCGTCGTTTCTGCCTACGCTCCCACTGACTGCAGCTCAGATGATGTGAAAGATGAATTTTACAGAAAGCTGTCCGAACTTCTTCAGAAAGCTAAACGCTCAGACATAGTACTCGTAGGGGGTGACTTTAATGCTCAGATAGGTAGCTTAAACCAAACAGAAAAGCATTTAGGTGGGTATTTTAGTGTTCCGGCTCAGCGAACAGATAATGGTGATCGTCTGCTGCAACTGTGCTCAGACAATCTTTTATTTTTAGCAGACACAAATTTTAAGCATAAGGACAGACATCTTCTAACATGGCGACCCCCTAAACCAAACCAACGATGGACTCAAATAGACCATATTGCAATCAGTCGTCGTTGGAGAGGGTCGGTAGAAGATTGTCGCTCATTCTGGAGTACCTGCTTAAACTCCGACCATGCCCTAATACGGGCACGCATCTGCTTGCGCCTCACTGGACGCGAAAAAGCCACATTAAAAAGACCCATTAGAACTGAATTGAGTAACGAGAAAACCAAAAGTAGGTTCCAGGAACAACTGAGGTGACAATTAGGTAGTTCTGAAGACGAGGTTGACCCAGATGTTGCTTGGAAAGCTATACAAACAGCTGTGGAAACAGCAATGAAATCTACTAGTGATTTAAACCACAGAGTTACAAAGAATCAGTGAATTTCTTCAAAGTCTATCACACTGATGGATTCTCGCAAACTCGTCCCATCAGGTTCCGAACATGATGAAGAGCGACAAATCAGATCTAGGTTAAGAAAAAGTCTAAGAAACGACCGTGAGCAGTGGTGGGCAACGAAAGCAAACGAGATGGAAAAGGCGGCGACTATAGTGAACACAAGACAGCTCTACAGACTAATAAAGGAAACTGGAATTAATAAGTCAGGTGTAAGTCAGACTATTTCGGAAAAAGACGACGTTATTCCATCTGACTGGTCACAATCACTTATCGTCTCAATATATATATATTTCAACCTATGAAATATAAGAGGGTTAAAATCATCCTGTGACACCATAGAGGGATTAGCTTAACTAATATAGTATCTAAAATACTATCCTCGATAATTATCAGACGCCTAACTAAGACTCGTGAATTGCAAACACGAGAGAATCAGCCTAGCTTTGAGACCTGTCCGTGGCTGCATCGACCACATATTCACCATTCGTCAGGTTCTAGAACACAGGCATACTTATCGGCGTCCGACAATGGTGGTCTTTTTTGACTTAAAGGCAGCATTTGATTCGGTAGACCGCGAGATTCTGTGGCATTGTCTGTCATTGAAAGGCGTACCTCAGAAGTGCATAAACCTTGTGAGGGCTCTTTCCTCGAACACTACCAGTCGAGTGAGAGCTTATGGCGAACTGTCATCTGCTTTTGCAACCTCAAGTGGTGTCCGTCAAGGCGCTTCTCCCCCTCGAAATGCAAGCTGCTGCTTCAGGACTGGCCTGCGTCAACACCTGAACTAAGGATATTGAGTGAAGTAGTCGAACGCGTTGACAACTTCACTTATCTTGGAAGTCTGATCAGCCCTAGTGGGTTGGTGTCTGACGAAATCTTAGCACGGTTTCGAAAAGCTCGTTTGGCTTTTGCCAACTTACGTCACCTATGGCGAAGGCAAGATATCCGTCTATCAATAAAAGGACGAATATACTGCGTGGCAGTCCGTTCTGTTTTAATTTAAGGTAGCGAAACGTGGTCATTAAGAGTAGAAGACACTCGTAGGCTACTAGTATTTGACCACAGATGCCTTAGAAATATTGCTGGCATCTGCTGGGATCACCGGGTAAGTAATAGTGAGGTTCGACGCAGGGTATCAATCCAATTTATCAATCAATCAGGAAAATCGTGCATAAATATAGGAACAAAAATCAAATCAATGAGAGACACAACCAAAACAGAGAAGTAAACAATGACAAATTTAAGGTCAATAAGAACCAATCAACATCGAGGTGCACAGAACAGGCTGTGAAACACATATGGAGAAATTTGAACACTTCACTTCTATCTGAAGTTTGTGCTGAGTATGTCGTTCAGAAGAACGATGAAAGCTCCACGACCAAACCATCCAGCTCAGAGAACAAAACTCCACCAAAATCACCTACCTGAGCTACAAATCTTCCCCACCATCTCAAGATAAATATATGTGCCCGGTCCTACGTTGTGACTGACTGACTGTATAGTGTCTTTTGCTCGGCAGTTTACAGTCACAGCAAAAAATCAAAGGGGACTAGACATAAAACTTTGACAGAATTTCCTGCCGAAAAAGCGTATATATTACATAGAAAGAGCTATAAAGAGAACAGGTTTTCAATATTGGTTCTAAAAGGGATTACAGCAAGAAACAACTTCCCACGTCAACACGAAATGACAACAGATATCTTTCGTAAAATCAAAAATCTAGAAGGTCGACACTCCCCATTACATTAGCTGTTCAGATTGTCCAGTCAGATCAATCCGCTGTTCCTGCACAATAGACGTCTACTATGTTCGTTTATAATGCATTGTAGTTAGGTGCCGTGTTGTGAATTTTACCATGTCATTGGGTAATCTTAAACTACAACCAATCAAATAGATTCACCGCTTCTATCCGGTCAAATGTATGTCTATAGTTGCCGACGCCTCGTTTGAGGGCTTGTAAGGTTCTTCGTAAGTCACCTTACTAGCTTGACCTATCATATTACGTCACGACGCACGAAAGCTTGCCTGTCACTTCATAGGACTAGTTAAGCTATGGCAGGTGTAATAATAAGAATAGCTCCCTGAAGCGTTTTGATGTCTGTGACTATAATCGCTTCCAGATTATTCAAAACTATAAGTAGACATTCAAGTCTTGAAAATGAGCTTTAATTTCCTTATAAAATCAAGGGGGTGTACAATTTGTGATATGTATGAATTGCCTTTTACAGTTAGACATCAATAGTACTTACAAGAAGATCATTGGCTTTACTTAAAAGTACTAGGAATACCAGGTGTTTGGTTCATTTCAAGGTCAAAAGCATGTGACTACATGTGTATTGTCAGTCAGCTACAACGTAGGACTAGGCACATGTATACATCGGTCCAAATTGCCATATCACATTAACACAACAAGATGAACACAGGATTCATAAAAGTAGTTCATTCAGTGCTGGTAATATATAAAAGAAAGATTGCATATAATGACATAATACAAGAAGAAAGAATTAGTTCGTAGAAAGAAAAGATATGAAGTGATTTTAATCTCTTAGTTTAAGGGAAGACAAAGAGTGTATACACCAACGTCATTGTGATCTATTCTAAGCCATGTCACATGTGTATTGATAAATTAAAGTTAATGTTTCAACTTATTAACCGATGTATGCAATAATTTCAAATATTTTCTTTTGTTTTTTTGCAGTTCCCTACACTCGATTTTTTTTTTTTGAATTCAAATAGAATAAAATGTCTAATCATTCTATTTGGCTACGTATAGTACCTTTTATTGGATCAATGATAATTTCAGCTTATTATTTAACATATATGCGTTATTGTATTCATGAAAAAAAGCGATTAACAACACAATTACCTAATTTAAATGAAGATTATATTCTTGAATTTCATAAAGAAATGACTGAATCTTTTAAAAAAACTAAATGGGAGAATAAAAGAGTCAATAGACCATGGGAAGAATAATTTAAATGAGACAATAATTAGAATGTATAAAATAAATAAATAAATAGATAACTAATTTTCTCTCTATTGTTGATCATGTAACATAAGTATCTATGTATATAAAACAATTATCTTAGTGATAGTAATTTGTAAATAAAAGTACAAATTAAAAAAAAACAACAACAAAAAAGGAATTTTCTCATTTAATTTATTTCATAAATTAACAATTTAATTATTTTCTTTTGACAAGCTAAACGAATAGATTGTATAATTTTTGATGATAATTCTATATAAGATGAAGAATTTTTTAATGATTCTAATTTTGAAAGAAAAGATTCTACACTAGTTTCTGTAATACGTTCAATTCCTTTTAAACTTATATCGGATGTATTATTGGATAAAGTGACCTAATTAATAAATAAATAAATATATAAAAAAAATAAACATCATATGTATCATTTTTATATATTATAATGAAAATAAAATCTAATTTTTTTTTATAGTTAAATTGTTGTCAGGGTACCTATTTTTATAGTTAGAAAGATTTAGATTTTTAACCATTAAGTTACAAGTTCAAACTCTGTTTCATATCACTTCAATTTGAGCAGTAATTACTGATCTTCATCATAAATTAAAGAGTAGATCAAATTAGTGTATACAAATAGGTATTTAGTTATAAGGTTGTATCATGAACAAACTGTTGTCTATGATAATCGTAATTCATTTTTTATATTTATGTTCATTCGTTTATGGTTACATGGCGAATATTGTAGTAGTTTTCGCCACACCCTATGAACAACTTTCAACACTCCACACACACACAGCATAATCCTTGGACGAATGAAATCTTATAATGGAGAGGATAGATGAAGGAATGCTTTTGAATTGACCTAATGTCTTTTATCTGACAGTCTATAAAAATTCAAATCTCCATTTCATAATCATATTTTATAATTAACCTAAAATATATACAGTTAATAATCATACTGATAATTTTCAGGATACTGTAGAACTCAATGTAGTGTTTTCTTAAGTTTAAGTATAACATATGACATCTACAACAACTTCAAATAACAAGTGGAGAATTTTCCTTGACACTTAAGATACAATCTGAGATTAAGAGGTATTGACAAACCTTAAACCAATGAGGCTCACTGTTCTCATCTCTTCCTGTTTAAGGACAGGAAGTAGTATTTCTTTATTTACAAAGATCTAGAGAGAAAATATGCTATATATATAATGTCAGTCAGTCAGTAACAACGTAGAACTTCGTACGTACATACATCAGTTCGAGTTGCCACACCACATTAGCACAGAGATGCAGTTGTCGATTCAAATCCCGTAGTGGTAGAGGTAATAAGAGTATAAGCAGTAATCGGGAAGATTAACGTTTGGAGATGTTATTTAAAGAGTATAATCCAGTGAAACAAATTTGGAAAGAGAAAAGAGCGGGACGTGAAGAATTCAGAAGATTAGAATTTGGTAGAACATAAAGAATGGATGCACCTGCGCCATTGCAAACAATTTTGAGCCATGTCATTCAGGGTCTCTAACCATCGGTTGCTGTCATCTCGCGGTCCCCAACCAGGTAGTCTACACCTACCAACATGGCTCAGTCCACTTGTCAGTGACTTCATGGATTTGTGCCATGTTTTGGTCTGGCCACCCCTAGCTTTCTTCTATTCTACTCCTATACAACAAAACATCACATATCGAGGCAGTCGGTGGTCGGGCATACGTAACACATGTCCCAGCCATCTCAAATGATGAAGTTTCACCACTTCATCAATTGATTTGCCATCCTTACCTAGTACCCGTTTCCTAACAACTGCATTACTTACTCGATGGTCCCATGATATACGAGCAATGTTTCGAAGACACCTATGATCGAATACTAGTAACCTACGGATATCCTCTACTCTTACCGGACATGTTTCACTGCCATAAGGTAGGACGGGACGAACTGCTGCGCAGTAAACACGTCCTTTGGTTGATAGACGGATATCTCGCCTACGCCATAAATGACGCAAGTTGGCAAAAGCTAGTCGAGCCTTCTGTCTCCGTGCTGAGATTCCGTCAGACACCAGACCACAAGGGCTGATGAGACTCCCAAGATAAGTGAAGCAGTCAACACATTCAACTACTTCACTCCCTATCATTGTTTCGGGTGTCGATATAACCCAATCCTGAAGCAACATTTTGCCTTTCGAGGGAGAGAATCGCATTCAGAAAGAATGTTTTTAACAGGAGCCACTGTTTATACTTAGAAATAGCAAGGTTATCAAATCAATAAGACGAAGTTAATGAGCGAATAACGTGCTTAGTTTATTCAAAGATATGCTTGAAGAAATATACACTGATCAGTTCAGGCGACGACTGACTTATCGTTCAATGGTCAGTCATCAACTTTTTTGTCCACCTAGTCCGATGAGTTGAATCCGATCTGCGAGATTTTCAATTTGGGGACTAATTTGGCTTTCATTCTATAATGAACAAGAAATATGAACCGTTTTGCTGTTATTTACTTATTTGCTTGAGATTTGGGCCTGACTTCATTTTAGCGCTTAACCCCTCATGATGTTATACGAGTATCATGAGTGTTAGTTACTATCCGCGTTCGTAAAGACAGGCAATAATACTGATGATCCAGTAACTACTTTCTAGCACAGATTTCACCAGACAAAGAATCTATTGATACTATAAGTAGACACGACAAATCGCGAAGAGAAATCCTGTAAACTTGCTATTGTCGAAGCACAATTTGGTGATTTATTACTTATAATATATCATAACTAAAACAAAATAACACGGTGATATTAATGTTCTCTTCATACTATTTAGAAGATATTTTGTTTTTTTGTTGTATTTATCACGAATATGTCACACAATCAGATAATATCCAAAATCAATTTTGATAAGTTTCTCAGATACTAGATTTACTAACAGTGAATGTGTAGTGTAAACAGAAGTAAGATATAACACCACTTAATTAACTATACATACATATTACTGAAATTCTACTTTATTGAGTACACAAAACTATACTTGCTTTATACATTAAACTATCACATTTCATGAGCTTCAGTAAAATTAACTTACATCGCTTAAAGCAACTGTTAACTCTTTACATAGCTGTTTCAATAAATTTTCTTCATTGGTTAGTAATTCCTTCGTTGTATTAATTTGATTTTTTGTCCGATTTTCAGCATTTACAAGATTTTCCACATGTTTACTTAGTAGAGCGGTTTCTTCTTCAAGTTGTGATACCTGGGAAAAGTATATGACAATAGTAGTGTAACTCATTTACTAAGAGTTTAATGTTCCATTGATTTATTCAAATCTCGTCACAATAAGGCACCAAAAAGGAATGCGTCACATAAACGAAGCGGTGATATTGTGAAGAAATAGAGGAAACTACGGAGGGTCCAAATATAGGAGTTGAAAGATTCTGATTCTAAACCAGTGGTCTATACGTGTTCCCTAATCCAAAAGGGAAGAAATGGCGTACCAACCTATTCTGGTCTTCGGCTACCATGGGGCTGAATTTTGTAGTAGTTCTTTGTGTCAAAAGCTCTGAAGCGATCCCATAAGGAAACTGCTTGGTTCAGTCTAGGCAATATTTCATACCATATACATGATTATGATGAAATTTCTCCTCCATTTGTCAAGTAGGGGTTTCGCATTTAGCCTTAAACTACAGTACTTGTGTGAAAGCTAGTAACCTCACCTTTTTGCACAAACTGATGAAGGTGGGGTGAGTTGGCACACTAATTAGTTGAATACTGAGTTATTTAACTAAGCCACTTACTCATAAAAAGTATACATGACCATTAGTACTGTGGTGTACGAGAGAATTATATATAACTTTAATACAGAGAGCTTGACGAATATTCTTCCAGTGGTTCCTAAACTAAAGGACGATTAATGTATACTGTGATGTTGTGGACAGAATTGTATTGGGTTCACATTATTTGTATGTGTGTATTTTGGACTTTCGTAGGCGTTCTTGGCGAATTCTCAAATCAGCGATTATAGACGTTGAGAACCAATGAAAGAGGTGGTAACACCTACATAAACAGCCAATTAAGCCAGAAGAAATCAGGGGTGTGGTTAATTTACGCATATTAAGACTTTCACAATGCGTCACCCCTATTTTTGTCATTATAATTTCCTATTAGCTTGTACAATATAAACAATAGATTTTTTCATAGATATATTGCATCGTATATTGAATCCAGATGCTAATTACCAAATATTTAAACAATAAACAATACTAATCCCATAAAAATATACACAATAATCTTCTCAGAAGAACAGTCAGTGAAGAAATGGTCTTTCGGTTTGCAAATGTGTAAAGCACGTCCTTTGTAGTCAATCAAGTGCGATTTTTGCAATGACAGCGGTTAAGAACTTCAAGTGCTGAGTCGTAGGTTCAAACTAACTTAGAGCCAGTTAGCATCACTATAAACATGTCGCTCAAAAACGAGTACCTAGGCTTGTAATCGGTAAGTAAATTTGCTCCCAGCACTAGTTAAAACGTTTTAAAGATTTTCGTCTTATTATTTTTTATATCTTATGCACTTCTGATAAACTATTTCTATGTTAAAGACTGATTTAGTGATTGAAGCGGTCGACTACTAAGTCACCCATCTTAATATAGAATATATATTAACTTCTATCATAATAGATGTATCAAGACAATCCGCACAGAATTCACATATTCTGACCAAGACTGGTAAAATTCCAGTCAAAATATCAACGAAGGGATAATTCAAAACATTTAAAAGTGGATTCATGTTTAAGATGTTTGTGCTTCTCCTAATTAGCTGTTACGAAAAGCAATGGTTATACATTGAAATGTAACTAACGTGTTTCTTCAATTGACGCAAGATAACTTCACGAAGTCTGTTGTATTCCAGAAATTCATGAGTAAATATTGAAATTTTGCAATCTGCTTCTATGTCATTGTTTTTAGTATGTGATATTTGTTTTACTGGTCGTTTACATCCAGCTTTGGGCCCGTTAGCATTGACCGTTTCATTGGAAGCTAACCATTTCTTGTAATTATCAGTCGTTTTGTATTCAGCAAACAATTTTTTGTATAACTCACGATCTTCGGCAGCTTGGTCAGTATATACTTGTTTCTCTTCAGCAGATAGAGCAGCCCATTCAGTAGCAATAATACGATTTCTATCTGAAAATGACTGCGAAGCAATATATTCTGATTCTTGTCTGCGCTTTTTCATGAACAACATAAATGCTGAAAGAGGTCGCCTTGGAGCATTTTTGTCGTACGGAGCTTTCTTCATAACAATAGTCTAAAAATCGAATACACAGTAAAAGATTTTCAGTAGAACGAATAAATTTCGAGATATTTGAGACTTGAAAATTTCTTCTTTATTGTCTGGGACTTACTAAATAATTGGTTGTCTGGGCCACGTGAGGAACTATAGGGGTTATTAATTCTAATTTATGGAGAGGAGCAGCATAATTACCAGAAGACATCACGATGCACTCTTTACTTATTGATACAAAAAATTGGTATGAAGGGGTACCAATATATATATATGCGCGACACAATAAAAATGCGGTTATGAAGAGATAAAGAATGGAGGGTTAGTATAATAAAAAAAAAACAAAGATGGATAGAAATTAGTGTATGAGAGTGGAACAGCAATAATCACCAAAATACTAATAATGGGAGAAGAAGTTCAGTTAAGAAAAATACAATCAGAAAGGATTCTTTCAGTTAAAGCTCATCTCGCTCGTACAAAGAAGATTACAGCAAGATTGCCACTGGCTTCCATTTCGAACCATATCTAATAATGTCCCAAGCAGGTGTTGCGTCATCTCTACGAGACCAACCAGGGAATAATGAACGAACAACGGAAGCCACCAAAGTCCATGCTTCAAGATAGTGACACTAATTGAAATATCGCTGAGTTGTTGCATAGGTGACGTAAACCCATTCTTGCAAAGTCGCAAGAAACATTACTAACCATCTCCGTGGAACCATGCAATCGAAGCCAATGTCCATCATTATCTCTTGGTGGGTCGATAACTAGCCTTTACCCTGCTCGGTTTGATATTTAGTTTCAACGGAAGCTGCAACCAATTTGCTGACATCGATCTGTTTAAAGCGATGAATTTGTTGGCTACTAAAACGCGACATAAGATTAGTGCAGGCAAGGACATGATCAAAGTTCAGATAATTACTCCGAAAAGAGAGGCATTTTTGTACACAACCATGCCAGCGGTAGCTGATCGTAATGTGTTTATTTTGAGTTGAAGCTTGAGATGCAGAGAGAGAGAGTACCAGGAAAAACATCGGCGATAGCTGTACCGATAGTTAATGTTAGCCGGAAACGGGTTGTAGTCTGCGCAAAGTTGCAGTGGGCAGTCCCCGTTATCTAACCTATGACCAAAAATTCCCATCAGCCACATAAACGACTCTCGTCTGAGCATTCAAGTCTCCGGCTAGTACTGCAATATCTATCGAACGCACTTTTTGTAGAACAGTTAACTGGTGGCAAAAGAGCTTGATCCCATTCGGACTGTAATCAGTTAGAGCTTGGGTAGAGATGACAGCAAGATATCCTTCATCACACCAATTTCTTCTTAATTTGATGGAGCTTTCTAGTCTGAAATTACATAGTCGACTGTTAGTGGGGATCCAGTTGATTAGTGCTGCCTCAGTTCCATCGCTTAGTGTGACACTAACGCCAGCAAAACCAGACAGATGCACATTTGGTTTCAGAAAGACTGGTTCATAATTAGTATTTATTGGTAGCATTTAATTTTCGACCAGTCAGTGACTTGAGATCGCTTATAGAGGACAGGGTTTCAACCATAGGTGAGCTACTGTATAAGTTGAAAAGTGATACACGGAAAATGAGGATAAAGGGGAATACATAATTGGAATAGTATAAAAGAAATGGAAGCGAATTTTATAGAATGATTGGTCTGAATGAGCGTTGAAGTAAAAGTAATTTTCCCAGTAGTAATTATCACTGGTTTGCGTGGACTAGGATACTACCCGAGTGCCCCAACCGAAGCGGGTGGTTTCTAAAGGGGCCACGTCCCGACCCTTTGTCCTTAAGGTGTAACCAACAAAGCAGTGGAGCAACGTTAGGAGATACTGTCCTATGGTAGCCGGTGACCAACAATAGGTTCATACGCCATTCATTCCCTTATGATCCTGTAGCCCATGTGGAGCATTGGTTTGGAATCTGGGTTTTCCTGCTCCCTTAGATGGATCCTTCATATCCATCAACCCGGTTAAAGCTCCGGATATTTGCTCTTCGTCCCCTCGATTTCGTAAACGACAACCCCACCGCAAGAGTGACGTTTTTGGAAGTGTCTATATACATGCGGCCATATGAAAGCATTTTCAGAGAGAGTGAAAGAGAGCGAACTCTTTCTACGCTCGGCTGTTTCAGAACATGGTAACATCTAAACATAATTAGTAAGATGGACATGACAATTGTATGCATCAAGTTCATCAACCTTTTGACCTATGTTTTGGTTCGCAATTGGTGTCACCATCTTGAAACACCGACTTCGGTGGCTTGGGCATGTTCTACGAATGTCGTCTCAGAGAATTCCACGCCGTGCATTATTTGCCGACACTGGGATTGGTTGGAGAGAGCGGAGAGGTGGTCAGTATATGACGTGGTGTCGTGGTATGAAAGAAAGCTGCAAAGGGCTGGCCTGTGTCAGTCCTTCACGACTCCCTGGTTGGGGTCCGAGAGATGGTACAACACAGTGGCTAGAGACGTTATCAGATATGGCTCAGAATAGAAGCCAGTGGCGATTATGCTGTAACATTCTTTTACTTTCTTCATAAAACGTGGTTGTATCTTCCTTAACTGAAAGATTTCTTCTGATTGTACCCTTTTGTTCCCCTACTATTACTATTATTATTACACTACCTTACGCCAATCTCTTCGTTATTGTTTTTTAAAATATTTTTTTACGTCCCCCACATTTTTCTTTTTTTCTTAAATTCTCATTGTTTTGTGTGGCACATATATATTTGGCGCACTCCTGTACCAATATATGTGTTCAAATAAATAAATAAATAAATAATGATTCGCTATGGTAGCCTTATTAAAAAAATGTAGAAAGTCTTTAATACACTGACACACAAGGTCACATCTTACTTGTAGTCTGTTTATATTAGTACATCGAACTATTAAGATGGTAACTGATTTGGAGATCAGGATAGTAACACATACATACATTCACAGTTTATACAAAACCCAGTTCTCAAAAATCCTGTGATTATATAATTTTCCTAGCTCGATTTGTAATTTCTACGTAACATAATCACATATATAAGCGAACAATATTGTTTTCGATTAAATCCGAATCAGGCTTTACTCTAATATACAGTAATGTATTTCTATGCATATAGAAAATTATTAAGCCAATCAGGGAAGTTTATGATTCAGTGGTGATAACAGTGGAACAGATTACATAAATAAGTGAAAAGTATAAATTGATAGTGTGATGAAAGGTGTACTAGTTGCGATAAGCAATAATGAAGGCTTGAATCAATGTTACATAATGGGAAATGGGTTAATAATTAGAAAAACTATAGACACTGAAATAACATTCATAAAAGTTTTAAAATTATGTAATAAGTGTCTACGGTCCAATTATCTGAACACTTTGTTATTCTTATCACAACTGGTACACCTTTCATCACACTAGCAATTTGTACTTTTCACTTATTATGTTTATTTATGTAGTCTATTCCATTGTTATCATTGACTCATAAACTACCTTAATTGGTTTAATAACTTCATATATGCATATAAATACATTACTGTATATTAGAGTAAAGCCTGATGAGGATCTAATCGAAAACAATATTGTTCTAAATCACAATATAGGAATTTTTCAAATATAATAATAACCATATAAACGTCAGGCAGATTGTAATAATGCAACTCGTCTAGTTTGAGAGGTATCATATAAGCATTTGACGACTGTTGACTACCCATATAGTCAAATAACTGAAAGAGATTTTAAGTAAGTGTATAGGAATCTGAAAAACTTATTTCGTGGACGAGATTTGGAAGAGGATTAAAGACTTAACGAGTATCAGAATGGGTTTTAAGGAGAGCTTTAGAAGTTTTCACAGGTTGAAATCATGAGTCAGTTGAAGCTAGACCACCATTGAAAACCTGGAAGCACTGGACGACCGTTTCGCCCTGATATGGGACTCCTCAGCAGTGCGCATCCACGACCCCGCACCACGCGGGGCTCGAACCCAGGACCTACTGGCTTCGCGCGCGAGCACTTAACCACTAAACCACTGAGCCGGCATCCAACGGTGTTGATGTCTAACTTCAACCAATCCACGAAGTTGCGCCACCGTACACCATGATCATACGTATAGGTTAAGCGTATGATAAAACCCCCCATCTAAGATATTTGATACTAGGTATTTTTGAATATACAAAAAGTACTAGAGGCAGTTGGCAAGAAAGTTCGGTAATTAAAAAGCAATGATCATATGAACATATACTAGGGACGGTGAGTTAAGAGGCATTATTTTGGTTTTTAGTTCTTAGTGCATATTTCGATGAATTAACGCCCGCTTATACGGATATGGGCAAGTGATAATAAAGTGAGTGTTGACCTCAATCTAAGCTTGAGGAAGAACCTGGTTTATTCAGATGTTCATATCACAGCAAGTCTGAAGGCCATCCACCTTCTATACATTCTAGATGCGAACAACTAGAAAGCATAACAATAACTTTCTACTTGTTCTAAGTTTCCCATTAAATCATGCACAACGAGATGTTTAAGCACAAAAAGACAGAGTGTGATATATACGAGAAATGTGAAGAAATTCTATATAAGGTTAATATGAACCACAATGGTTGAGTGAAATTTGCGTTAACTGTAGTACATTCACAGAACACTAATATTCGTTTTTTCTTCATCCTCGTTTCCATCTCCGATTCTGGAATCCTATTCTTCCACCGTTTTGCTTCTAGCTTGGCTTCTTTGTAGATAACGACCTATAGAACATTAGGTTTTCTTTATACAATTAGATGTCCATTTGTCAACTGACTTCGCACAGTATATGCTATTACATATGATTTTCTTATATCCCAATTCGGAAGTTTTTATCGCTTATTCCGTTATTTAAGCATTAGTTTCAGGCAATGCAATTTTATCAATAGACATGTGTTATAATCTCCTTCTTACATTTATGACCCAGCTATTGCTATTACTTAGTATTCTTGGACACCAAATCACTCGACAAGACCCCAAATCAGAACACGGTCGAACAGAAAGGAGATCATATTCCAAATAACAAGGTTAGATGGAAGTGAGATGCAAGTAAGAAGCACAATAGAGAAAACGTTAGTATATTTATGGTTTTTACATGAGAAGATTCTAGAGTATTCTCCGATTATCGACTAGTGCTGATTGGACAAGAATTAGCCAATCAGCGTGCACCAAAGCAATCGTGCATTGAGCATGCTTTAATCCAGTCTATGCCCCGCTAACAACATGTGAAACAACCAATGTAATTACACTGGTAATTCGTAAGAACTAACTAAGCCCCTCCAAAAAAAACTGAAACGCGTCCGAAACCTTAAACTAACAAATTTTTATTTCGATTATTATGTCATCTCCATCTCACGTTCGTGTTATTCCTAATTGCTATGGATTTCTCCGGGTGGCAAGAGAAAGCTCTCCACAGACTTAAAGGTATGCTACACAAATGCTCGCAGCCTTCTAAATAAAATGGTGGAGCTCAAGTCAGTGGTCGATAAAGAAAAATCGGATGTTATTGCTGTCTCGGAAACTTGGTTTGCGTCAGAAGTATTAGATAGTGAAATCCAGTTGACTGGTTTCATAACCAGCAGGGCTGATAGGTTAAACTGAAGGGGAGGCGGAGTTATTCTGTACACGAAAAGTACCCTAACCATAAGATTAGCTGAGACAGTAGCACATGTTTCAGGGACATGTGAACTGGTGAGATGTAAGTTGAAATGCCGACGGCAAGATATTGAAGTAGTTGTAGTATATCGCAGTCCAGAATGTGTAGCAGATGATTTTATCCTAAGTAAACTTAAGTCCTGGTGTAACAACGGTAAAAGCCTTGTAGTAGGTGACTTTAATGCACCATATATAAACTGGGTTAACTTAGAAGTATCGTCATCGATATCGTCGTTCGACTGCAAACTGTTATAAACCTCTATTGGATTAACATTATTCCAACACATTAGAGATCCCACAAAGTACGACTTAAGAAACTCTTTTTTTCTTTTAGATTTAGTCTTCACACACGGTGATGACGTTGGTCAAATGGCTTTTCTCCCACCACTTGGGAGAAGTGACCATGCAGTCATCTTATTCAAATTCATGGCTGAAATTGCTTCTCAAACAATTGCGCCGGCCCGTCCTAACATATGGAAGGCAGATATGCAGGCAATTGACTCCGCAGCGTCGGCTGAGAACTGTGAAATTGACTCAAAGGCATCAGTACAAGAGGCATGGACTCTATTCAGACAGTTATACAATCGGGTAACTCAACCATACATACCCTGGACTGTCCCAAAGAAAAAGAAGCACGGACATCCCTGAATAAGGCGGGATATTCGACGTTTACTAAGACAAAAGAAGAACAGCTGGGATGTTGCCATCCGCCTTGGTACAGCAGGTACGATGGAACGCTACAGACCAATAAGAAACGAGTGTATAACAAACATTCGGGAAGCTCAAAGAAAATATGAAATGCAGCTGGCACAATCTGCACTCAAGTAGCCCAAGAGAATATTCTCCTACATAAACTACAGAACAAGGATGCATCATTGGATTCCCAACCTAATTAAAGTAGGAAGTGAATTTGAAATGATAGAGGAAGATCAGGAAAAAGCAGAGGCTATGGCTGACTATTTTGGGGCAGTTTTCACTCAGGAACCTCCTCTAGAGAAAGAACCAGACCCGAATACAGAGTCAACAAACCAGCTACTCACCGTGGACTTCGACCAAAACGATGTGCTTAAGGCTCTTAGCACCCTAAACATGGAGAAGTCAACAGGACCAGATGAACTACACCCCAAAATCTTGAGACATATTGCCCAATATATCACGGCCCCACTGACTGTGATATTCAATATGTCACTTGACCAAGGTGTGTTACCTATGGACTGGGAGGATGCAATCGTCACTCCCATACATAAAACAGGTACACGACAAGTTCCATCGAATTACAGACTCGTAAGCCTCACCAGTGTTGTAATTAAAATACTGGAAAGAATAATCAAACGGACCATAACGACATTTATGGAAACCAATAACTTGCTGAACATGGCACAACATAGTTTTAGAAAGGGTCTATCCTGTACAACGAACATCCTTATAGTAAGGGAGTTCTGGATTAATGCGCTAGACAACGCAAATTCAGTGGATGCTGTCTACATAGACTTCAGTAAGGATTTTGACAAGGTGCCAACTAATAGACTGCTATTGAAGTCGGGAAACCTTGGTATTGCCGGACCTCTTTTAAAATGGATTAAGGATTTCCTAGTAGGTCGTAGACAAAAAGTAAGAATAAATTTCAAGTGCACCATCTGAAGACCAGTACATAGTGGAGTACCTCAAGGTTCCGTTCTAGGTCCTTTACTTTTTATACTGCATGTAAATGATCTCCCAAGCACAACACAGTCACCAATGTTATTATACGCTGACGATGTAAAAATTTGGCGAGTAATAACTGGAGACGCAGACGCACGCGCTTTTTAGGCAGACTAATATGATAAACTGGTCTAAAGAGTGACTGATGCCTACCAACGCGGAAAAATGTGTCTACACGCAGTTTAGGGATACAAAGGTTAATAGGTACAACATAGGAGAATTGCCATTACCCGTAGTCCGGTCACATAAGGATCTAGAGGTGGCAGTGAGACATGATCTTAAGACGACGGCCCATTGCCGGGAGGTCGCAGCTAAGGGGTTTCGAACCCTCTGGGATTTAAAACGGACATCCACTAAGTTAGATACTAAAATGTTCACCACATAATACACATCCTTAGTGAGAACTAAGCTTGAGAACAGCGTTCAGGCTGCAAGCCCCTGTTTGAAAGGTGACTCGGATATCCTAGATAAAGTACAGAGGGCAGCTACCCGTGCAATTTTAGAACTCCGGGGTGTTATAGGAGAACTGGAAACATTTGGCTGATTGGAACGTTTTTACTGTACATCAATAATTTTACTATTTTTGGATGTATTTATTTTACTTAACCTTTGAACTTGTTTGTTTATATCATCCCTTTCAGACATTTTGATTTCGTTTTGTCATTGGTTTGGTATTTGGGAGCTTTTGCTCCGGGAACCTACAAAACTGAAAGTTTGTTTTGTAATTGTTGTAATTATTGTTGTTAGAACGATATTTGAGTCGACTATTTGTAAATCGCGGATAAACTTTGGTACATAAACTGGAACTTGGTTCTATTGTTAATTTGGGTTCGTGAATTGCATACCGTACTTCAATAAAGCGAACGAGCGAAAACTTGGGCGTGACAGGGGTTTACCATACACAGAGCGGCTTGAAAAGCTGGATCTCTTTACTCTGTACAATCGCAGACTAAGGGGAGAACTATTTTTGATGTACAGAATACTGAGAAATTATTTTGGACCTCACTTCACCTCTCTTTTACTTCCCACTAGATCGGGACATCTCAGAGGACATAGCAGGCTAGTAGAAAAGCCAAGAACGAACAAAATAACCGCGGCATATAGGTTTTCACACCGAGTCATCAGTACTTGGAAGCTGCTGCCTGTAACAGTGGTGTCCATACCTTCAATTGACTCTTTCAAGAGAAGACTGGACACTCACAGAAGCATACTAGAAAAGGAATAACATATGCCGTAAACCTTCTGTCCTTACTACACACATCGGAAATTCATTTCATGTGTTTGCTGAGCCATCGACTCACATATTCCCATGTTCTTTTCGCCGCTGAATAACCTCGCTTACTACTCTCAATATCCCTCAAAAACACAAGGTACATTCCGACTAGACGCAAACCTACCTAAGGCATAAAACCACAAAACAAGCCTTCAAAAGTTACGTCCAATTTATATAGGGCGGAATGCTTGTTCAAATGGTTCAAATGGTTCAAATGGTTGTGGACGGAATAGAAGAAGCTTTCGCTTAACAGGCTTCCGTGTCTAGTAGCAGGGGATCACCAAATCCTCCAGGCAGGAACCTAGGTATGTTAACAATAAAAGAGGAAAAGAAATTGGTAAATCATAGTGCGATGCTGTCCTTGGTCCTTAAGAATAGGTCAAGTTGCCTCTTGAAGGACTCCTGAGAAGTCGCTTGGACTAGCTCGGCCGGCAGCGAATTCCAGCTTTTGACAACTCTTAAGGAGTAGAAGTTGTGTCTACATTCCGTCTTGCTATGTTGTGTTTCCAGTTTCTGCGTGTTACCCCTTAGGTTATTATTCGAACTAAGCTTAAGTAGGTGTTTAAGAGGATGCCCAGAAGTGTTAAGGATACTATAAGCCATTAATAAATCACCTCTAAGACGCCTATATTCTAGTGGGTAAAGGTCTAGTGAACGGAGGCGTTCTTCGTAAGGCTTAGATTTGAGTCCTCGAACTGATTTCGTGACTCGCCGTTGGATACGCTCCAAAGTGACCTTATCCTTTTGGAGTGAGGGGGGGAGTACTATGTTTCCGTACTCTAAATGGGGACGGATGAAACTATTGAAGATTGTGTGGAAAGTTCTTCCGTCAAACTGACCAAAAATGCGCCTCAACGTTACCAGTGCAAGGTTTGCTCGGAAGGCATTTTTGTCACAATTAGCGTAAGACTTTAAGTCATGGGGCACCAGGACTCCTAAATCTTTTTCGACTTGGGATACTACTAGAGAGGAGTTTCCTAAGTTGTAACTGTAGTTTGCGACATGTCGCAGATGGACTACTTTACACTTAGAAGTGTTAAAGGTAAGTCCGTTATCGTCTGCCCAACTTTGAAGTCGAGTCAGATCCTCCTGAAGTGCCTGTATATCGTCTTGGTTGCGTATCTCTCTCCAAAGTTTCACGTCGTCGGCAAAAAGTAATAAGTCTGACGTTACCTGTTGAGGAAGATCATTTATGTAGATCAAGAAGAGAAGAGGCCCTAGTACTGAGCCCTGGGGGACCCCACTAGGACATTCCATAGCCTGAGATAAAGTGAAATTAACCCTAACCTTAAAGTGTCGATTTTTTAGGTATGAAGTAAGCCAGTCGATTAGAGGTGGTTTGATACCTAGTCGTTTGAGCTTGTTGATAAGACACAAGTGGTTAACCTTATCAAAAGCTTTTGAGAAATCAAGGTAAATGACATCAACCTTTCCCTTGCGGTCGAGGATGCTTGTCCATCTGTCCACCGCAGTCAGCAGGTTGGTTATACAAGAGTAACCCTTCCTGAAACCATGCTGTTGGGGTGAGAAGAAATTTAAGGACAGTAGGTAGTCATTTAAACCGTCGCATATCAGGGACTCCATGAGTTTTGAAGGTAATGACAGAAGAGCTACCGGCCGATAACTTGAAGGTTCATTGCGTCGACCACCTTTGAAAATTGGTGTGATGTGAGCCAACTTCCAATTTTCCGGTAGTTTGCCTCGGCTAAGCGAGTGTGAAAACATCACGCTAAGCGGCGTTGCCAGGATTGAGGCTGCCTCCCTCAGTATGGCAGGATGAACCATATCCGGGCCAGGAGAAGTGTCAAGTCTTAAGTGCTGCAGTTTCCGGAACACCAAGTCAGCGCTTAGGTCCACTTCAGAAAGTCCTGTGGAATTGCAGATGAAACTGTCATGAGTAAAGTTGATGTCAGCCGGTTGAAATGTTTGAGAGTAATGTGCCGCCAGAAGGTTAGCGGCGTCGCCATCATTGTTGGTCGGGCCGTTAGGACCTAGCAGTTGAGAAACTCCTGTTTAGGCTTGACGAAGAGAGGCTGCGTAACGGAATAGGCTTCTAGGGTTAGAGGCGAATTT